AAATAAATAGAAAAAAGACTAAAAAAAGAAAACGACCGCGGGCACCAAATATAAGGACTGATAAGCTACAATATATTATATTTTTGTTTTTGGGTCTAGATGCTGACAGTGCTCCTCAACCTCCCCTCATACTCACCTTTCCAGTGCTCCATCGTTGACCCTTCACCTCGGCACTAAAATTACTGATGGTGGCAACACAGGAGTGTAGTGATGTCACTTCCCAAATTATGTGACACTGGTCAGGGCTAGCAGCAGAATGTCACAGGGGAGAGGGTTACATGATCCTCCACACCATGAAGAATCAGGTATTGTAGCCATCTGTGGAGATCTGAGTATAAAGGGGTGGGGTGAGCATTTGCAGATGCACTGTCACTTTGGCCTGCATTTGCAAGGTGATAGTATCTCTTTAAATAACACATCCAGTATTCAGTTCCTTAGACAAGCGCTGAGTAGCATTATTGAATGCTTTGGCTGCACAGTGCTATGCAAAATGGCAGAGGATTATATTTTCGACTAATAAATACAATTTTCCAACAAATATTTGGTGTGCTTCTCCACCAAAACATTAATTGTAGGTTCCCACACTGAGTTGTGATTTCCTCCATCAGGGTTAAGGCACCTTTCCCCAGCGCCACCAGGTGTGCCCACAGTTAAAATGGCCACAGGTGCTCTGTCCCCACTCCATCACACTCAGTGCTCTGCATCCACATTCACTTCCACTGCGAGTGCTAAGTTAGCAGTGCTGTGCACTGACTTGCAGCACAGCGTTCATCGGTGGTTTGCTAACTCAACGCTCACAGCGGTTGAGCAACTGAACACGCCTCTGGTCTTGTCCCTCCACTAGACTGGATATTAGAAAGTAAAGAAGCAGACTGCACTGACTTTTCACTCTAATGCCTCCAATCCGCTTGCTCCTTGTTAGCACATGGTCTGCTCTAGATGCACAACAACTGTACAGTCCATCAAACAAGAGAGGCAAGAGATGGTTTTTATGCTAAGAATATTCTAACTCCTTTCAACATCTTCTGCTCCCTTTTACCTCTACAGTTCTTCTGCTAAATATAGCAAGAAATTGCAGACGCAGACAGAACAGGGCAACAAAACAAGGAACAAATTATCACAATTCCTATATTTTAAGACTTGGTTCTGCTCATTCTATGCCTGCTGCCCTAGGCACACATGCCTTTTGCTAAATTCAGCCCTGAACGCCAGTGTATCCTTCAATGTACTTTATGTCAGGCTAAAATTCTTACTTTGTAAAGACCATGAAACTAAACTTTCTTCAGATGAAGAACTTTGAAATCAATGCGCATCAAAAGCAAAGAGTTTACAGTAGTAGTATTTTTTACTATTGAAGCCAGATCAAACAAATATACTTTGTCTAGAAAAGTATTTCTTTACATTTTTGCCCAAGCACTTGCAGCCATCATGTTTCCAAACAGCTGCTCCAACTCTCTCAGCACAGCTTTCCTGAACTTCCTTTCCAGTACAAGGGACACAGAAGTCTACAGCAACTGTCCATCTACTAGCTTGGAGGAAGAAGGAGGGAGGAGAGGGGAGCAGGGCATGGCAAGTGTCTTGCCTTGCTGTGTAGGGCTGCAACAACTAATCGACATAATCGATTATAATCGATTATTGAAAAAGTTGTCAACTTTTTTAATCATCGATTAATTGGCTTCTGATTGGTTGGCCCTCTTTACGGCTCCACACACGCTGCGCGCCGCACCTGCTCCCCACCTCACGTTCGCCACTGCCAGACCCGCCCGCATCCACGCTCCACACGCCGTATCTCCTCCCCGCCTCACGTTCACCGCCCACATCCACGATCGCACAGGGACGTGGGGAGAAGTAGTAAGGAGGAGCAGGTTGGAGCCATTTTTTAAAATGTATTTTATTTTGTATCCGATTAACCGATTAATCGAACTTAATAATCGGCTAACTAATCGATTTTGAAAATAATCGTTAGCTGCAGCTCTATTGCTGTGTCTCTGTGTATTTGTGTAGACACACAGAGCTTACTAGCACACACCAGGGTAGCTCCATAGGACCCTGCAAGTAAAAGGAGCCACCCAAAATAGGAAATCAGGGCCATTGCTCAGGTGGTGGGCTGATTCTGCAGGAAACTCAAACTTTTAAACATCAAGGAGCAGCATTCATTGTAAGTGATTTCATCAGCATTTGAAATAGCTTACAAATCTTGTTACTTTAATATCGTTTTAAACTGTACCTGTAGTCAGTCAAAATTTGCTAAAAGGCCAGTTGTATGGTATAGCAGGTACTGCCATGATCCTGATCTGATATACTGCAGCAATGGAAAAACATTTGAATGGCAATGACTTCTTCCCATATATACAAATCAGTACTAGCAAACTAGCATATACTGGGTCATTCACCTAATGCCTAGATCTTTCAGATCATGTGGCTGGATCTGCTTTTACATGGGATTTACAGTTATGTTTTCACTGTTATGATGTCTACATCTTCCTAAGATAAAATGATCAAGGTGATCATAGGCTATAGCAGTGTTATTGCATTTGTAACCAGACAGTTGAGTATTGTGCATTATTTTATTTGCATGAACATTTCATTAAATTCTGGAAGGGAGCCGATTGTTCTGAAAAATTAAACAATTACAACTGAGTGCTCAACTGCACTGCTGATAGTATGTAACAGTAATATATTGTTTTAGGTTCTTAATGGCTTCATATCAGAGATGTCATAAAAGACACAACCTATGCAACATTAAATTTCTATACAGTTACCATTCAGTTACACCTTGTAAGTGATAGTGGACAACTTTACCTTGGATGACAGAAAACCCCTCACCAAAAAAAAAAAGACAACCGTTTGTTCTACATACACAGTCAACAAGTCAAGGCTCCAGTCAAAGGGTTCACAGCTGTAATAGACAGCATCTCCAAGTAACACACGCAATCCCCAGAACACAAGATCCCAACTTTATTCTCACACAGGTGTCATTCCTATTTGAGCAGCACAAAACTCTCCCTTTATACAGACTGTTCAATATCTGCAGCCAACACAGGCTCCCAATGGAGCTCCAGCTATTGCTGAAATGCATTTCCCACAATTTTCCAAACAATCTAAAAATAGAGGATTTGGATCAGAAGTGTTATGGCAGATAGCCATTTGCAAGGCAAATTCCATAATAATCATAAATAGGATCACATTAAATATGTTTATTTGTCCTTGTTAACATATAAAAATAATGCCTCTTTTCAGGAAAAGGTCATTTTGTTTGACAAAACAGAGTAGTACAATATTTGTCTGCAAATACAATATGGCCTCTCAGAGCTAATAAGAGGCAAGATGTGTCTTCTTCTCTTTACAGGCTGCAACATTTAGCTTAGTGTTACTAAAATGATCTCAGTGAAATGTTGACATTGTAAATAAGAAATATATATATTTATACATTGTAACATATGCTAGAGTGCAGAGAGAATATCAAGGACTGCTCCACGAGTTTACTGCTTATAAGAAGAAGGTAGCCTCCATAGCAATCATAACATCACAGAAACATAAACCATTAGCTGTGGCCTCACTTACAAGTGCCTATTAGAGCCGGTTTGATGAAACTGAACAAGTGGGTCAGTCAACACTGATCATGCCCTAAACATATACATGCTAAGTGTTTTCAAGGCTTGTATCTCAGCCTTCTAATTCTATCTCTGCATTCGGCGGCATACATTAATATGGAAGAGAGTCAAAACTCCATGTCAGGTGACTAACACCCACCATGACAGTCTGCATGCAAAGCATGTGCAAATAAAATACAAGACTTGTTTACTAGTAAGATATGCAAAATGAGCCTATTCACAATTCACAATGTCTTATTGAACGTACAGGATGAGACACCGGTATAAAGTCTCAGCATCAACTGAGGTTAACCCTTCCTCCTGAAAAACACGAATCTCCTGTTTTATAATCAGGCAGGGAACATGTTAAAAATCTCTATAAGGAAAGGACCTTCTGCCATATGATGCCGAACCACAGTGGCAACCATGCCCCCTTTCATACTAAAAAACTGCATTTTTACTATCATGGGGAATGCTTTATAATGTCTCACGTTTCCTAGCTGCATGCTCTGTCTGGGTAGCTGCACACATCATTGTAGACGTGTGTGTGTGTGTGTGTGTGTGTGTGTATAGCACTAAATCTGCCAAGGCTATTTTTAGAACTGAACAGCTCCTAAAAGACTGGGACCATAGAAAGACAGTTACATTTTACTCTTTCCAGCAATCATCCTGACAATTTTACATGTCCATGCTGGACAAATCAAGACAGCCTTCATCACCACGCAATTTACATGTCTGCTTGTGTCTGGCTGAATGAATAACATCCTATACCTTCTGCTATCACCCCTGAAAGCACATCTATCTGATCCATGCTCACTGCACCTTCTCAAAGTGCAACCGATGTACAATATAGTTTATCTTCCCTTCCCATGTCATGGTGTTATTTTTCATCATCCATCAGCACTACTTCCAAGCCACGAATGGCTGCTTTACTACTTACACCTTCCAAAATAAATTGTGCATAGTACTAATACATCTAGGTGCTCTGCAAGTAAATGGTCCACCTCCTCTTATGTACATTAGGCAAGATGGATGGTGCACATATTACATATATGTTTTTAATAGGTCATCTCTACAATTTTGAAGTTGTGCATTGTAATCTTTTTTATCTATAAACCTATAACCTGTGTACAATATAAATAAGCATGCAAACTCATCTTAAATAGTATACAGCCTTATCAAATATTTTGGAAGCAGATTTAAGAAAAGTCTATAATGCAATAATATAATACACAGTTTAACATGTTTGTATTATATTTCTAAATGATCATAGGCTATGCTGTAGGTCAATTGTCATTTAAACAATAATATGTCTCCTACCCAATCCCCTTGCATTGATTATTTGTTTGCAGTAAAACTGGAAAGTTCCCTGCTTGAAAATAGGAAGACCTAATGTTCCCACATTACCTTCTCTTCACCTTGGCAGGATCAGACGCTCTGCAGATGTCAACCCCAGAAAAAGCATCACATTAAATCCTGGTTAAACAGGCTCATGGCCTAACAAGCAGCATCCATTTCCATCTCCAGTACCTCCTCTGTGGCTTTGCTGAAATATACAGACACAGCCCCTCTTGCTGGTTTCCTCCCGTGTGTGAGTGTGTGTGTGTGATTCTGCCTCTCTGCACAGTGCTACCACATCCCATCGCCCTGCTAACTGTCTCTCACACAGACACTGGCTGCAGTCCAGGGTGCACCACACAAATGTTCATCTTCAGAGGGAAAAAAAAAAAGAAAGACAATTCAGAGAGTGCTCTGCTACACTACAAGGAGATTTCACACACAGGCACAGAACATGCCATTGAGAAGAAGGAGGGGTGGGAAAGCTGCTTCAGCTCAAATGCTTTTCCCTTGGTTGTTCCTGCTGGTGCATTCCTCCTTTTTTTTTTTAATGACTCACGTGCAGACAAAAACACACTTTAAATGAAAAGAGGCTGACTAGAGGTGGGGGGATGGGAACGCAAGAATCAAAAAAAGGACCTGCTTCCCCTGATGCTGGGTGATGTGTAAAGCAAGCACCCCATCAGGCAAGCCCTTATTCAGACTGGGGCCCCCTGCATTACACACTGCATAGCAACATCTGGCCTGTACCGCCAACAGGAATCCTGCTCACAAGGTTGCTATGCAAGGCCAGATCACTTCACATTTAATTGGCATGAGTCCTTTCAGGTCAGATTGCAAACAAACAAAACATTTTTCATTAAAACATGTTCTATGTATAAGGTGATTCTATCTGCATTGGTTATGATACTTTTACAGTTAATTTTTTAGGTTTTAAAAGATCAATTCCCTTCAATATGTCCAATAGGTAATATTAAGCAGTTAAGATATATATATATATTTGCATGTTTACAAATACCTACAATATCAACAAAAAAGCATAGTACACAAATACAAATCACTTAAATGTACTCATTTTTTTTCACCACTATTCTTTCCTTTATAATAGCATCTGAAAATAGGCAGTCATTAAGAGGTTAGGCTTAATTGCATAGAGGTTAGACTTAATGGCATAATTCTAGAGTTTTTAATTCTTAAAGGATAAGTGTAATTTCAGACAAGGTATGCTTATCCACCCTGCCTAGTCTCCCTGACTTAAACTAACACCCTCCCCTCCCCCTGCCAGATGTTTACTTTCCTCCGGAGGACAGCCGAAGCCCCCAATGTTCATGGCCTTAGGCAAAAATCTGCAGTTCTTGGCACAGCTTAAGGTGGCCATGCACTGTGCAAATTTCAGCTGGTTCTTGAGAAAGCGACTGAAATTGCAGTGTGTGCCGCTGTCGGCACCCTTTCGGCTGGCATATTTTGATCAGCTGGTCCAAGGACCTGGTTGGAAAATCTTCGTTTGAACAGAGCTGGCAGCCAATGAGCTGCTGGCTCTGTCTGGGTATTCCAGCATCGGACACGGGCCGCTGTCAGAATACAAGAGAAACAGCAAGGATTACTCAATCAACACGCACGTAACATTGAGGGAGGAATCTGCCCTATTTCTTGAACGTCAAAAATTGAGCAGTGTATGGCCAGCTTTACACAGGTCCCCCCGAGACACATGAGAGACAGCCCGATGCATGTCTATTGCACCCACAATGCAGTCCGTAGAATATGGAGAAGGCTAATCCATGTATTGGCACCTAAGTCTGGACTTAAAAAGTGTCCCTATATATCAGGGGTGGGCAACTCTGGCCCTCGAGCTGTGCGTTAACTACAAATACCAAATACATCTGCCTCTGTGGTTCATGCCTGTTGCTGTCAGACTTGCAATGTCTCATAGGACTTGTAGTTCTACAACAGTTGGAGGGCAAGAGTTGCTATTTACACTGCAAGGGAATTTATTGAAACTGGAGCAGAGAAAATCTGTAGCTGTTGCCCGTATTAACCAATCAGCTTCGTTCTTCAGTTTGTTCAGTTCAGCCCTGAAAATAAAAGATAGAAGATGACTGGTTGCCATGGGCAACTACTCCAGATTCGGTCTGCTGCAGTTTTGATAAATTCTCCCCATATATCCCTCACATAGGTGGGAATTTACCAAGACAGGAGCAGACAGAATCTAGAGCAGTTGCCCATGGCAACTAATCAACTTCTGTCTTTAGTTTGTTCAGTTAAGATATAAAAATGAAAGAGCCAGCCAGTCAGCTCAGCAACCAGTCAGCTCATTGGTTGCCAGGGGGAACGGTTTCGGACTCTGTCTGCTCCAGTTTTGATACATTCTACTATTACTGTTTTCTCTGACTCCCATCAAATTACATTCATACTCACAATAATATTTCTGAACACTTCTGTAGTCTTAAATTGTAGTTGAAGGATATCAAACGCATAAACAGATATTTACTATGCTGAAACCAGGGTATATGTGTGCCCAGTTTAGCTGATTACATATCTATTACATTATGAGCTTGATGTAGCTTGTAAATTCTTTATTTTCCAGATGATTTCATCTTGCATTTTATACAAGACTTTCATGCAGCACAGTTATTATTTATGCAGCCCTCAGATATACTGCATATTTCTTGTTTTTCTTTCTATACTGGATACATATATATTCTATAATATACCTTTATTGTTCGTGATGATTGCTTGTAAATGAACAATATAAATTAATGTATACAGTAAGATCTATTTTATAAACAATACAGCAAGATGTGCAAACAAGCATATGAGTAAATATAACAGAATTAGCTTTCTGTGGTAATAAAGCACCATGAAGTAAGTGAATACGACAAGATAAGAGTAATGTTAATGCGTGGTATGTTGTGTTCATAAATTGTTATAAAAATCTCATTATGCTAGATATGTGCCAATATATAACAGATATTCTATTTATACAGCTGTCTGATATTTCCAAGAAATATAAATATGTGCTGCTTTGTATCTCTGTTACGTTATTATTGAGGAAGGTACTTTCATTTCCACAGTAAAATCATTAATAAATGTAACATATTAAAAATGTTCATAGGTGCATAACATAACCTGTGTTGCCAATATGACTTGGTACAGGCTGTGGTAACTGAACATAAAGACAATGCATTGTGGACCAAGTTTAGAAAAAAAGCATCTCCTCAGAACAAATATATGCACCTTAGAAAGTGGACATGACCTGTCTTAATATAATCTACTTTAGGACATCAGACAGATAGGTGTACACTGGGCTGAAAAAAGCTATATATAAAATGCATTTGCTGAGTGGGGTACCTATATGAGAAGCCATGGCAGGCTCTGAAGCTCTCAGGCCCACTACATAGAGAGTGCCTGGAGGATTTCACAGTTCCCCTCTCCAATCTGATTTCTTTGAAACCTTTTAATTCCCTTATTCCCTAGCTGGTTCCCAAACTACTAGCCACCCTTGCCTGTTTGCAGGTGTCTCCATCAGCCAGCCAGCTGCTGAGAAGATACCCGTGCATGCGCATTTCCGTTGATGCCCGCGTCCATTGACACGCATGGAAATGTACTGGCCATTTATTACATTAGTGCAGAGAATGAATTAAGGTAAAACACACCTAGCTTTTAGTATTACTTTAAGACAGTAAGGTGAGGAAAGGTTAGAACCTCTGTCAGGATTGTATTGTTGTCTCACTGCCTTGCTTTCTGTCCAGTTGATAAGTGTCAGGTAGAACAGAAAGTAAGGTGAAGTCTCCTCAACAGAGACATGGACAACATTTAAAACCTGGTAGAAAATCTTTTCCAACAGAGATGCAGACGGCATTCAAAAGCAGAAAGAGGTTCTAACCCTCTCATGCTCAATCAAAAAATTATATATATATTTATATATGTAGGGTTGGGGTTAAAGCCTATCACTGGGGGGAAAAAACTGCACAATGTGGTCTAGGGGTACCTGGCTAAAGCAGTTTTATTTACCTGATCTCTGCTCCCCCACAGTCTACACTCTCCTTATCCCCAGTTACACTCTTGCTTGCGGACAGCCCCTCAGCATCCTCACGTATAATGCAGGGCTATGGGCCCTGCACTGTATGTGATGACATCATCGAGCCTCCAACTGCCAGAGCATAGGGGAAGAGGCTGTAGGGCCAGTCTTATAGCCTGGAGCATGCCTGCAGGAGCAAGGATCAGGTAAGTAAAAGTCCTTTAACCAGGTACCCTAGACAGAAAAAAACAGTTAACCCTTGCAGTGCGGAGGCAGACCCACTGCACGGGGAGTTTTTTTCCTCTGGAAATCTGAAAGCTGCATAATGCACATCTGAAATTGTGGGCACTATCATCCTTTAAAGAGGTAAGGAGTGTGAATGGTTGAATTCTATAATTTTTCTATGGGGCTCTTACAAAATACATTTTTATTTCTTGTTAATGAACATAAACCTAAAATATAAACAAAGTACAATAAACTGTGGATACGGAAGATGTGGGTATCACATTAAATCTAGCAGGTATAGCATGGTTAAATTTCTTAACAGGATATACAGTGAAGACAAAGTTATGTCTTCAATTATGCTGGCAGCAGGAAAAGGAGCTGGCAGCTGGATGCTGAGTCAGTGAAAAGCCAAGGAAAGACAACCCAAGAAAGGAAACTGATCGATATGTAGCTGCCCTGTGTACCATTCTTTCCCAGTGCGTATATTGTCTGACCTCCCTCCAAAGATGATGATTGTGTCAAACTTTCACATAACAACTAAGCAATATTTTTTTCACCTGAGAATACTTAGCAATTACCTAAAATGTTGTTTTGCTCTGGACACTGTGTTCACACTATAAAAGAGTCACTTTTATATTTAACATGTAAAATGTGCCCTTTGTCTTTTTCCTATTTGTGTGTTTGTAAAGTCAAGCTTATGTCTCCTTCCCACTACAGGAAATTTACTATTAAACTCTTGTTTAAAGATCATTAATTATCACGCCTTTGATTCAGTTAGTATGTATTCAAAAGACTTTATAATTAAAAGGAAAGTAGAGATATTATTGTCTAGCCACTAGGTCTCCTGTGTTATGTTTCTAAAGCATGTTAAATTATAGAAGTATTGCTATATGTGTCTCCATGGTGGGTGATTCACCCTCCTGTCTATCACTAGGACAGAAATGAGAGACATTTCTACTTCGGGATTTACCTCTGGAACAGGAGGTGAAATCTTGCAATGGTGACAACTACAAAATATGGGATTTCCTCTAAGTTTGGGGAATTTTCCCTAATGCCTTTACAAGAAAGGAAGTGAAGGCAAATGTTCTAACAGGTACAGAGGCAGTGAGAGAATAGCTTAATAGTGACACTTAACTTTCCCACTCTAGGAGTTAACTTTATCATCTCTCTAACTGGGGTCAGCCAGA